TTCTCCCTCGTCGTTTGTTTCTGGTAAGATGCATTTTGGTTGTGGAAAGCACCCTTGAGTGTGCAAGGCCAGAGGGCTCTGGGTCCTACTCTCCATTCTGCTGCCAGCTCCTCTGGTCAGAGCTCGGCTTCTCTGAGACTTGGAGACTTGGAGTATGAAGGGGTTGTGCTTGAAGACCTTAAAGAGTTTTCCAGGTCAAATTTTATTTTAGAAGCAGTGGGTAGCAGGAGAATGTCTGGGGCAGCATCACTTCGTACTTAATCAAGATGTGACATTTCCGTGGTGTGATGCAGTTTTGGAGCACTGGATCAGGAGTCGGAAAGTTCCAGGCTCTGCAGTACCTCTGACTGATGGAATGACTTGGTTTATGCTCCTCCAGTCCCAAGCGCAGATGAGTTCGTGCTCAGCTGCAGCCACATTCAGAGACAGGGAGGCTCCATTGGGGGTAAGCCTGCAGGTTCTGGGTTCAAATCCGGAACAGTCCACCAAGTGCCCATGTGGACTTGGGCAGGAAACTTGGCCTTCTTGAGCCTCAGTTTTCACATCTGTGAAATAGATCCTCGGTTTCTCATTTATAAATACTCTTCTCTGCCTCCCAAGGTTGGGACAAGGATGAAGGCCATGTAAGGTAGTTAGCACAGTACCTGGTGCATAGTAAGTGCCCAATAAATGTTCACTGTTACTGTCATTTTTGTGCTATTAGTAATTATCGTGGCTTCTGTTATTGTGGGTCTTCAGGTGGCCACATCATGTCGCCTCCTAAGGCTGGGTGTCTTGCCTGTGGTGCCTGCCTCACAGGGTTGTTCAGAAGGTCAGGTGTCATTATGTGAAAGTGCTTTATGAACCCTCAGATCCTCTCCAGAGCCAAGGGGGCAGGGCTGGGCAGGTGAAAGCAGAAGCCTGGAGGTCTGTCTGTCTGCCGCTCGGCTGTTTTCGAGGGAGGGTTTGGCTGGGGCAGGAAGGCAGGTCTGTCCTCCTGCAGCCCTGACAGACTGAGGCACATGCAGACGCACTTCCCATCCAGGCAGACAGGCCCAGCCCGCAGATGGCCACAGACTTGTTCACTTGGTGATTGTCATTCACAGCTCCTGCCATCTCATGCCAGAGGCAGTCAGAGGGCATCTCGATCTCAATTTCATCTCTAGACTGACCCTGCCCGCTTTCAACCTCCTCGTCTGAAATTTCTAGAGAACGGCATAGTAGGACAGCACTGTTTTTAAACGACTTTAAAAACAGTGATATGGGGTAGTGAAAAACAGTAAAATCCAGAAACTGTGAGTGAGAGGTGGCGTTGGTGCCGGGCACCTGTTGTCACGCAGGCTGCTCTGGGCGAGAGCAATTTGTTTGTTTGGCAAAACCACTGGAATGTTCTTGGTGGGGCGGAAGCCCGGGAGTGGGTGGTGGGTTTGCTCCTTGGGTGTGTTGCCTCCTTCCGAGCAGATGGGGCTGAAAGAATTTCCAGAGGGAGGAGGGACGGCCCCAGCTGGGGAAGGCCCAAAGAGCTGTTTCCTGTCCAAAGGCCCATTCATAAAACGCCTCCTCTTCCTTCTCCAGGTGGCACCAGCCACTGCGTGGCTTTTCCCCACCTCAGGGGTTCCTTTCTCTCAAAGGAGGGAGGAGGCGTGCTATCAGCTAAAAAGGTGGAAGATGCCTCGGTTCTCCGAGCTCCCTCAGTTTCCCTGCTCCCCCGGCTAAGGATGATGGATGGCCTCGCGTGGGCAGCCGTGAGCCAGGAACTGCCAAGGGTGTTTGGCCAGCTCCGGGACTGACACACACGGTTAACCAGCCTAGGCTCCAGTACTCTGTCACACGGTCCCTGTCACAGCGACAGCTCACCTGGAGGGAGGCTGACTCACCTTCCACGGCTCTGCTCGGTCGGACCTTCCCCTCTGCCCCTGCTTAGTCTATTTAGACTGAGGCCGATCAGCAAGGCTGGGGGAGGCAGGTGGTTCCTGAGGGTCAGTTTGCCCAGCTGCCCCTTGCAGGGGAGAGCTGCACCCGCTTTTCCTTCGTGCTCCCCTTGCATGCTCCCCTACCACCACCTCCCCTCCCCAGCCCACCCTCATTCCTCTCTTCCCCTTTGCTTCCTTCTTCTTTCCACTTCTTTCTTGTAATCTCTCTCTTTCTCTGACTCTCTCTCTTTTCTAGCATAATTATAGATGTGATCTGTTAAAACTTATGACAAATCTCGGCTCTGTGTGGCATGCTTCCCTGGTAGTTGTTTGGTGGGAGAGAAGCAGGGGTGTCTTGTGTCCCGTTCCTCACTGGCTATGCGGGGATAGCCCTTGAGTAGTAAATGAAGAAGGGACACCTCTGTGGAAGGCATTTCATTCCCTTGTCAAGGCTTGCGAGGAGCTGGTGACAGAACTGGCCCTGCGTCCGGGGAACACACTATCTCCCTCTGCTGTCAGATGGGTCTCTTCTGCCTGGGGTCTGCGAACCACCCCTGGCCGGCTCTTCCAGGACCATCTCCCCATGCCCCTCCCTCTTCGGGTTCATTTAGACTTAGAGACAGCATGGGGGAGATTTAGATGTCTAAGTTCATCCGTTCATTTAGTACTTTACATTTAAGTACAGGGATACCCAAGCTATATTATATTTTTAAAGGCAGCGTTGGTTGAAGCAAGGAATACTCTGCTAATCCCGTCTGCCTTCAGGTCACTGGCACGAAGTGTCAGTGACATTGGAATTATTTTCACAGTTGCCTTTAAGCCCTATAAAGACAAACTTTGAAAGGTGATGCTGGCCTAGAAATGGCTGCTGCTGCTCCCTCAGCCTCAGACCAGGCAGAGGAGCTCATTTCAATTGTTTAACTTTTTATTTTGAAATAGTTTTAGACTTACAAAAAATTTGCATATATAACACACAGAGTTCCTGTGTACTTTTCACCCAGCCTCCTTTGGTGTTAGCATCTTACATAACCACGATATACTAATCAAAACCAAGAAGGGAATGTTGATGCAACGTATATAATCAAATGACAGGTTTTTTTGTTGTTTTTAGCAGTTTTCCACTCATGTCTTTTTCTCTTCCAAGATGCAGTCCAGGATCCCACACGGCAATTAGTCGTCATGTCTCCATAGTCCCCTCCAGTCTGTTTCAGTTCCTCAGTCTTTCCTTGTCCTTGGTGACCTCGACACTTTTGAGGAGTACTGGCCAGTTATTTTTTATTTTTTTAAAGATTTAAAAGAATTTTTTTTTTCCTTTTTCTCCCTGAAGTCTCCTGGTACATAGTTGTATATTTTAGTTGTGGGTCCTTCTAGTTGTGGCAGGTGGGACGCTGCCTCAGTGTGGTTTGATGAGCAGTACCATGTCCGCGCCCAGGATTCGAACTGACGAAACACTGGGCCACCTGCAGCGGAGCGCGTGAACTTAACCACTCAGGCATGGGGCCTGCCCCTGGCCAGTTATTTTTTAAAACAAGGATCAGCCAACTTTTTCAGTTTCGGACCAGATGGTAAATATTTTCAGCTTTGCAGCCATGCAGTCTCTGTTGCAACTCTTCACCTTTACTGTTGCAACACAAAAGCAGCCTCAGACAGTATGTAAATGAATGAACACGGCCGTGCTCCCATATAACATCGTTTATGAAAACAGGCAGAGGGCCAGATTTGGCCCCCGCCTGTAGTTTGCCAACCCGTGTTGTAAAAGGACCCTAGATTTGGTTTGTCTGATATGTTCTCATGATCAGATTGAGGTTATGCATTTTTAAATAAGAGTCCCACAGAAGGGATGTGCCTGTCTCGGTGCATCAGTTAGGTTACTTCACTTACAGTGCGTCACTTGGTTAAGGTGGGGTGAAATGTAGAGTTAACAGCTGCTTCCCCCCCCCCCATGTAATTAAGAATATCTCAAGGAAAACACTGTAAGATTATGCAAATATCCTGTTTCACCTCAAACTTTCAGCTGCTAATTTTAGCATCCGTAAATGGAGCTTTTCTCCAACACTTACTTCTGTGGTGTTTCAACGTGAATTTCTATTTCACGCATTTCTTCTGTATTTGTTAATTGGAATTCTTCTGTAAGAAAGAGCTGTTCCTTCTCCTCCGTTAATTTATTCATCAATTATTTATATCAGTACAGACTCATAGACGCTCCTTTTACTTTTTGGATTATGACGATTACAGTTTTTGAAGTTGCTGCCAAATGTCACCTTTCTTGGACTTCTTTGGTCTCATTGAATTCTTGACTACCCTCTTGATTTCATAGTTGGCTTTATTCCAATGACAACTTTGTGGGCATCCAGTGGCCTCAGACCTAATAGGTCTGTATTTCATTAACTTGTTAATGGCAGAGGGCAGTTTTATTTTTCAGCCCAAAGCACTAGCCAACTTTATGTGCTCAGTCTACCACACAGCCGGTTGGGTTGCAGTGGGAGTGGCAGCCTTAGAGTGACTAGAGCCGGTCAGGAACTGGTAATTGGTTTTCATTAATCTTCTTGGATGGAGGAGGAGTCGGTAGTATTTTCTGGTACATGCTAGGTCCAGTTTGAATTGAGTATGGTCCAAGTTACTACTTCTTCCTCTTCTCTTGCTCTTTAGGAGCTTTCTTTTTATTCTATTTGTTGGGAAACTTGAAGGGTGAAAAGCCTGGCTTAGGAGCAGAGTTTAAAGGAAATTGAGTTGCGTTGCTTTTGTAGGCACATTTCTAGGTAGAGTAAAATGTCAGTTTAAATGATTTTGCCTCAATTAGAAAGCCAAACAGTCTTCCAAAATGTAAGCCTCTGATCTGCTTTTATTTATTTATATCATTTTTGTTCTGTTTTGTTTTTTCAAAGATTGGCACCTGAGCTAACAACTGTTGCCAATCTTTCTTCTTTTTTTTTTTCCTGCTTTTTCTCCCCAAATTCCCCCAGTACATAGTTGCATATTTTAGTTGCGGGTCCTTCTAGTTGTGTGCTCTGTTTTTAAACACAAAATGAATATTTTGTCAGCTTTCTAAAAAAGGAGAAGCTTCTATTTCTGACTGTAATTAAAATTATTCCTTTAGTAACCACATGGGAGATCGGTGAAGAGCCAGTGCGTGTGGCTCTTATGTTTCTGTTAGCCCTTTAGATGATTTCAGAAAATGTTTTTCACTTCTGGCTCTGTGGTCATGATGATAGAAAAGGAAGAGAGACCAATCCCAGTGCATCCTGTGCCGAGGAGCAGGGTTGTATTCCTCGCTTTGAAAGAGTTTTTTTAACTAATTAATTTTTGGGGAAGGGATGAGCAAATTCACTCAGCTTTTAAAGAAATTCATAGAAAATTTTCCCACAGTATTAGTTAAGGAAAAAAAAGAAAGCAAAGAATTGTCATTTTCCCAAGGCATTGCTATAGTCAAAAAAGGAAAAATCTGGGAGCTTCTGATCTTGTCCTGGACAGAATTCACTAAAAGCCAGAACCTCATTAACTGCAGCTTCATTTCCACCTTCTTTAGGGTAGGAATGTTTGTGCTACAGAGTCCTGTGGAAGTTCAGGCTGGTTCCCACTGGTGTCTGAGAAATTGCATCCAAAACTCTAGCATGCTATTATTTCTATATAATCTGTTCATCTTGTCTGGTTGAGGAATTGGATGAAAAGTCGAGATAGTAATACTATTTTAGAGTTTACAAAAGTGAATCATAGACTGTGTTATCATGTATTTATTTCACTATGTGTGAGACAACCTATTAAAGTCACATATTTGAGTCAGAAGTTGATCTCCTGACACTTAGGGCCACCAAAACCATCACTGCCAAAAAATAATGTGAAGGAGACAGGTCAAGAGGACCGCGGTGACATATCTGGATGATTATGATAGATCCTAACATCTTGAGAAGTAAATTTATTCACAAAAACTCTGGCAAATGTGCCTTGATCTGCCTCTCAGACAGCACCACGTGCCTGAAGTGAAGTGGAGAGTGTGTTTGCTCCTTTATAAAATGAGGCGATTGGACCAGCTGTTGGTTTGGGAAAGATGTTGTGTGGGCCCTTCCTGTCCTTTCTGGGGTTTGTGATCACAGTGGAAGCGCAGCACTTTCACCCTCGACCTTACGGATTCATTGTCATCTTGTCCTTGGCGGGCCTGTCAAAAAGAAGTAATTTCGAAAGCATATCGCTGATTGTACATTTCATTCCATCAAGTGCTCATGTAACTGCTGGAGGCCTCTGAGATAAGAGTAGAAAAGTGCCCTGTGCCCTTCCGAGCAGTGGGTGATCTATTTTTGACTTGGAGACTGGTGACAAACCTGTCTTCTGTCAGGTCAAACTCACAGGGACTTTCTTGTTTTCTGTTCTTCTGTTGACAGCTGTGTCCATGCTCAGTATGGTCATAGGGTAGTGGAAAGATAGCTCTGGCATTTAAACACCTAGATAGGAAGGGGCGATGGAATGTATTTTTCTTTGCTATTTTGGTCAGCAAGTCCCTAGGAGTCCATAATGAGTGGTGAAGAAGTGAGGAGAGACCTCTGGGAGGATGGGCAGGAAAAGACGCCCAGCTCCTGGTTTGGGAGACACAGAGCGAGAGACATTTCTACCACTGGTGGCTTTAGTGTCTGGAAAGGGAATGACTGGAAGGAAAATGGAAAATGAAGGATGGATTTGAGGTAGCCTTGGGTGGTGGGAGGGTATGGAGGTGGGATGGAGGTAATAAGAAAAGTGGGGCTCTTTTCTTTTTTTGCATGCTGTATAAAACGTAAATTAAAACTCATGCACTGAAAATTGCATTTCTATAATCCTTTTACATAATGTGAGATCCTTTTTTTTTAAAAGCACAATGGTGCAGGCAGACATGATGGGAGAGAACTTTCAAGTCCTCAGCTGTACTTACTATAAACAAGCATGTGGCTCTGATGGGGATTGGTTAAATGGCATCTGAATTCCCAGCATGTTGCATCCACGTTTATTAGCCTCAAAGCTTTCACAGGCTCTTTACTTTCCTCGTCTGCAAAATGGAGCCTCTTGCCCGCCTCCCAGGGCTGTTATGAGGGTCCAAGGTCCAGTGCTGTATGATGTTGTCTGGGCTCTTCAGATATTTTATGAAACCTGAAATGGAAACTAGGGGTCTCCTGCCCAGACCCCACTTTGCTCTATTTATTTATAGTAGCTAGTGATTCTGCCCCTTGCCCCCTCCTTTATTCAAGGCCATGGCTCCCTTCGAGATTCTGATATATGGGCCTCCTTTCCTCAAAAACACACACACACACACACACACACAGTTTAGCATACAATGTTAGGAGTTCACGGTCTGAAGCCCAGCTGAGAACCTCTGATTTGACCGTGGTTTTCTTTTATGGAAATTACAGTTTGATCGGAGAGAACCAGGTTCTTACAGATGCCTGGCATTTGGAATTTTCTGCTTGTATGCGTCTTTCTTGATTATTTTTCCAGTGGAAGAAATCATTAAATTGTGGTCTTGGTAAAGCTCAGTGCTAACACAGCCCCAGTTCAGCTGCGTGCAGCAGGACTGTAAACTCACGAGGGCAAGACTGCAAATTCAACAAAAGGAAAAGCTGAGTCATATCACATTGACTGGGAAAGTACTAACATATTAAAAGTACGTAAGTCGAAAGCACCCAAGTCATATTTCTCTTTCCATCCTTAAGATGTCATAGCTAACCTGAGGGTTAATTAACATTGTTTTAGTGATGAGCCCAATCAATGTGATTTAAATCATGCATGATATATTTATAGCTGAATGATTAAGTTGGATGATGTGACGAAACACTTAAATCGTATTTATGGTCATTGATGGTTTTACGCGTTATTAGAGAGAAGCATAGTTACACCGAATTAAACGGGGATATCTGATCCAGACGTCAGTTCAGTAATTTCATGGGAAAAAATAAATCTAAATGAGCAAAAAATATTGTGGTCTTAACTCCAATGTGATGGTATTACAAGTTTTCCCAGTTAATTAGTAACACATATTGTAGAACAAATGTTTGAAACAGAAATCACGTGTTTTTGCATAACAGAAAGAACTCTGCACTAGGAGTCGAGCTGGGACACTTAGTTCTCCCACTGCATTGCTGTGTGACCTTGGGAAGATCACTTCACCACTCTGGAGCTGTGAAACACAGGGAACGGACTACATCTTAAATGAGAGAGGATTTCTTGCAATGTTAACATTTTGTGACTTTAAATTTCATTCTGTGATTGCTGCTTTTGAAGAAAACGTTCTGTCAACATTTAACGTACATACAGAAGAGTGGACAAATCGTATGTGCACAGCTCGTTGAATTTACACCCTTCTAATCAGCCCTAGATTAAGAAATAAAATGTTATCAACATTCTAGAAGCCCCCTTTGTTGTCTCTGGGTCTTGACTGCTACTCCAAAATGTTAAAAAAAAAAAAAAAAAAAAAAAAAACCCAAAAAACAAAATAGAGAGAGAGACAGAAAAAAAAATGAGGTGACGGTAATTTTTAGAAATTTGGAAGTTTAACATTAAAAACCAAAAGCTTTATTCATTTGAAAGGCTATTAATCCAGTCCACAATCCCCTATTCACTATTTTGAAATCCAAATAATTCTGAAAACTGAAAGTTTTTAGCAAAGTTATTTGGCAACAAAATCTTACCTGAAAGAATGGGTGGCTGTTTGAAGTCTTCATTTATGCTATGTGGTGTGACCGTTCATGCTTCTTACTCAGGAAACGTTCATGTGATTGATGACGAAATGCTGCCCCTGGACCTCACTTGCTTCAATGTACAGCACACGGTCATGTTTCTTCTTTGAAATCAAATAGATTATAAATTCCAAGACAAATCTGGCCCCAAGGACTTTGGGTGAGGGATTTTGTATTCAAATCACAGCATAATTGTTTGTAAGAGTGGACACTCCAACTTTTTTATTGCTTATATTTACATGATTTTTATCTGAAAAGTAAAGCAGGTGCTGTTCTAGTTAACCAGATGCTGTATTATCGGATGTTTCTCTTTTAATGCTATGTTTTCTTTAAAAGATAAACTTGTTTTGGAATAGTTTTAGATTTAATAAAAAGTTGCAAAGATTCTACAGGGAGTTACTATATATCCTTCACCTTGCTTCCCCTAATGTTACCAGCTTCCATAACCACAGTACATTTGTCAAAACTAAGAAATTAACTTTGAGCACAATACTTTTGACTAAATTATAGACGTTATTCAAATTTCCTCAGTTTTTCCACTAATGTCCTTTTTCTGTTCTGGGATCCCACATGGCATTTAGTTATCATGTCTCCTTGGTCTCCTCCAGTCTGTGACAGTTTCTTAGACATTCCTTATTTTTTATTATCCTGACAGTTTCAAAGAATACTGGTCAGGTTGCATGCAACGACATTGGTGGAACTTGAAGGCATTTTGCTATGTGAGATAAGTCAGACAGAGAAAGATAAACAGTGTATGATCTCTCTTATATGTGGAATCTAATAAAAACAAAAACCAAAAAGATTCCCACTAAACTCATAGGAAAAAGAGATCAGATCTGTGGTCCCTGGGGTTGGGAGAGGGGGAATTGGAGGAAGGTGGTTAAAAGTTAGAGACTTCCAGTTTTCTGTTTTTGTTTTTTTCCTTCAGGAAGATTGGCCCTGAGCTAATATCTGTTGCCAATCCTCCTCCTTTCACTTGAGGAAGATTCACCCCGAGCTAACGTCTGTGCCAGTCTTCCTCTATTTTGTATGTGGGTCACCACCACAACATGGCCACTGGCGAGTGGTGTAGGTCCATGCCCAGGAATCGAACCCAGGCCACTGAAGCAGAGCTTGCTGAGCCTAACTACTAGGCCACAGGGCTGGCCCCCAAACTTCCAGTTTTAAGATTAATAAGCACTAGGGGTGTAATGCACAACATGATGACTATAATTAACACTACTGAATGATATATAGGAAAATTGTTGAGAGAATAGATCCTAAGAGTTCTCGTCACAAGGAGAAAAAATTTTTCCTTTCTTTTTATTGTGTCTATATGAGATGATGGGTGTTAACTAAACCTATTATGGTAATCCTTTCTCAATATATGTAAATCAAACCATCATGCTGTACACCTTAAACTTACACAGAGATGTATGTCAATTCTTTCTCAATAAAATTGGGGAAATAAAGAATACTGGTCAGGTATTTTGTAGAATTCCTTTTAGGCATTTGTTTGTTTGTTTGCTTAAGTTTTTGTTTGTAAGCTTTTTAAAATTAAACTTTTATTCTGAAATCGTTATATTCACATGCAGTTGTATAAAATAATACAGAAAGATTCTGTGTATCCTTTACCCAGTCTTCCCCAATGATAACATCTTGAAAACTGTAGTCCAATATCACAACCAGGATATTGACAATGATACAGTCAAGATACAGAGCATTCCCATCAGCACAAGAATCCGTCATCCAGCCCAACTCTTGTACTCTTTTGGTTCAGCACATGTTGATTAAGGTCTCCCATGAGCCAGGCTCTGCTCAAGTCCTGGAGAGACGGGGGTGAACAAGAAAGACAAACCTGCCTTTGTGGAGCTTAGCTTCCAAGAGACAGATGTGAACAAGGAAGCACATGCACAGATGACGGAATGTCAGCTAACAAGTGCTGTGAAGAAAAATCAGGAGACTAAGGACTCAGAGAGAGGAGGAAATCCAGAATTCTAACGTCTCCTGAAAATCGAGAGCCCTGGTCATATTGGGCCAGCCTCCCTTCTCAGCACAGTGGGCGGGAGCTTCAGAGCAGCTGCTTGCTTTTGATGGGGCAACTGTTTAATCTGTGTTTCACGTTGAAATCATGTGTAACTATTTTACATCCTGTTTGTTGGAACTTCATGGTGTTGTTCTGGGCTGGTAGTGGCTCTTTAAAAATCTGAGGCGTTTATTTTAAGTGAAATTCCATGGAGAGAGAGGCTTCTGTTGCTTCTAGTCCCATAGTCTGGCCTCACGGTGATGGCGTTTTGTGCATTTAGTGACAACAGACATGGTATATAAAACCTATTGAAGTGTTTTCATTTGTTGGTATTCTTGGTATTATCAAGAAGCTGTGATACAATCAAAGGAGGGGAAAGGTTTTGGACTGCAAATATTTAGAATGAATTTTTCATTTGATCGTCAAATTGTGTCACTCATAAAAGAGATTTCACCATTTTAAGTGCTTTCTGCAGATGATGGGTATTAAAAAAGACTTAAATGGGGGCTTCAGATCAATATGTTGAATGATATCAGTTATTTTTAATCCTGGAAATGAGTGATTTCAAATGAACAGTTAAGGCCATTTTTTATTGTGATAAAATACACATGACATAACTAATTTTTAAGTGTACAATTCAGTGGCATTAAATACATTTACAATGTTGTGTAACCATCCACACTATCTCTTTCTTGAACTTTTTCATCTTCTCAAATAGAAACTCTGTACCCATTAAACAATAACTCCTCATTCCTCCCTTCCCCCGCCCCTGGTAACCTCTAGTCTACTTTGTGTCTCTATGAATTTGCCTCATTTAGGTTTCTCATATAAATGGAATTATAAAATATTTGTCCTTTTGTGTCTGGCTTATTTCACTTGGCATATTGTTTTCAAGGTTTATCCATGTTACAGCGTGTATCAGAATTTCATTCTATTTTATGGCTGAATAATATTCCATTGCATGTATTTTGTTTATCCATTTATGGGGGACACATGGGTTGTTTCCATGTTTTGGTTATTGTGAATAATGCCGCCATGATCATTGGCATAAAAGTATCTGTTCGAGCCCCTGCTATTCAGTTCTTTGGGCTATATACCTAGGAGTGAAATTGTTGGGACATAGTATAATTCTCTGTTTAGCTTTTTGAGGATCTGCCAAACTGTTTTCTACCGTGTGTGCACCATTTCACATCTCTTTACTCTTTTGATAGTGTCCTTCAGTGAACAAAAGTTAATTTTAATGAAGTCCATTTTATCTATTTTTTCTTTTGTTGCTTGTGCTTCTGGTGTCAAATCCAAGAAATCAGTGCCAAATCCATTGCCATGAAGCTTTGCCCTAAGATTTCTTCTAAGAATTTTATAGTTTGGGCTTTTAGGTTTAGGTCTTTGATCCCTTTTAAGTAAATTTTTGTATAGTGTATAAAGTAAGTGTCCAATTTGGTTCTTTTTGCATGTGGATATCCAGTTTTCCCAGCACCATTTGTGGAGAAGATGGCTCTTTCCTCCTGTGTGTGTGAGAGGTTTTTCCAGAGCTCTCTATTTTATTCCGTTGTTCTATGTGTCTGTCCTTATGCCAGTACTGCACTGTTTTGATTACTATAACTTTGTAGTAAGTTTTGAAATCAAGAAGTGTGAGTCTTCCAAGTTTGTTCTTCTTCTTAAAGATTTTTTTTTTTTTTTTTTTTGCAACTCAGGGTCCCTTGAAATTCCATATTAATTTTAGGTCAGGTTTTTCTATTTCTGCCAAATTTCATTAGGATTTTGGATTTAGTATTAGGATTTTGATAGAGATTGCATTGAATCTATAGATCACTTTGGATAGTATTGACATCATAACAATGTTATTAAGTTTTCCAATCCATGAACATGGAATGTCTTTCCATTTATTTGCATCTTCTTTAATTTCTTTCAGCATTGCCTTGCAGTTTTCAGTGTACAAGTCTTTCACCTCTTTGGTTAAGTTTATTCCTAAGTATTTCCTTCTTTTTGATGGTATTATAAATGGAATTGTTTTTACAATTTCCTTTAATGTTTGTTCATTGCTAGTGTATAGAAATGCAACCGTTGATTTTGTATCATGCAACTTTGCTGATTTGTGATTAGCGCCAACAGTTTTTTAATGGAATCTTTAGGGTTTTCCACATATAAGATTGTGCCATCTACAAACAGAAATAATTTTACTTCTTCCTTTCCAGTTTGAGTCCCTTTTATTTATTTTTCTTGTCAAATTGCTGTGGCAATAACTTCCAGTACTATGTTAAATAAAATGATGAAAACAGGCATCCTTGTCTTGTTCCTCATCTTAGAGGAAAAGCTTTCAGTCTTTCACCATTGAGTATGATGTTAGCTGTGGGTTTTTCATAAATGACTTTATCATGTTGAGGGAGCTCCCTTCTATTCCTAGTTTACTGAGCAGTTTTATCATAAAGGAGTGCTGAATTTTGTCAGATCCTTTTTCTACATCAATTGAGATGATCATGTGCGCTTTTTCCCCTTTCTTCTGTTAATGTAGTATATTACATTGATTGATTTTTGTATGGTGAGCCATTCTTGCATACTGGGAATAAATCCCACTTGACCATTCTGTATAATTCTTTTAATATGCTGCTGAATTCAATTTGCTAGTATTTTGCTCAGGAATTTGCATCAGTACTCATAAGGATATTG